TATATATATATATATATATATATATATATATATATGTTAGCGGATACGCATACCTGACGAGCGGCAAGAACCGCAAAACCAGTCGTGTGCTTCCAGGGAAATTTTGTCCAGTCATTCACATAATACTTATTATGAAATATGTAGCGTATGAGTATGATATTTTGAAGGCATTTCTGTAAAACAAAGTTAATAATAGCAAGAACGAAGTTAGAGTAAATATGCCCACACTCCCTGTGATAAAAGCAACATCCAGTAATCCTCAGGTTTCTAATACCCTCAACTATGTCTGCCTTTTCAGCCTCCCAACTTCATCGGTTCACTTGAGCCTTGGACCATACTGTTATCCACGCTATCATCCGGTTGGCATCATCATTCCTCGGCACAGGGCGCAGTGGGTTGGAATGCTACTGAATTTGCTCATCTGATCGCAACCAGTGCTGTGCCTCACGAATACGAACGTCACATGTACATTGGCATTCTGAACACAATGTTCTATCTAATTGGTTCTTTGTTCACCCCGGAAACAGTAAGTTTAGACAATGAATCTAACTCCCTCGCATCAGAAATGAGCTTTTGTCGCGCACATCTTTGTGCGATAAAAGTCAGAGGGATTAACTCTTATTGTGACATGGATCTATTGATTAACTCTGATACGTCGACCTAATACTTGCAGTGGCGAGCTTTATAGATTTGCAACAATTAAGCATCCTGTTGGGCCAAGCGACAGCGATAGCTTTTTGCCACCAACCAAACCATGTACAATACTACTGTCATCCACATATTCCCTAGTAAAAATGGTATTTGTCAATTTCGTAAAATGGTCTGTCATCCATACGACAGAAGTCATCATTGGACGCTGGTTGTTTATTATTCTTTCGGGCTCATTTCTGCACCCAATTAAGTACAATTCCAGTTTCATTGTACACGTTTCCTCCTTTCAAATGAAAAATATCTTGGGGAATTACCACGAACCCAATCACTTAAAAATATTTCGCGCTGTACAAAAACAGGCATGCATTATATATACATTCTTACCCCTTCCGGAATATGTAAACGATCTGACAGCTGGGCTATTTGCTTGCTCTGTTCGTTTGGTCGTTTGTTGTTGTCCCTGAATCAGTTCCACGTCTAAATATGTGTATGTACATTAAATTTATTCCAAATTTTTGATAAGAGTAAATTACAAAGCTAAGGCACATTAAATAGGATCTTTACACACTAGGTTCTTATGGTAGTACAGATAAACAATGAAATAGTCAATTATCACGTTTACCCACGGGTGGAGGTGTTTTCCCA